TGAAACTTAATCTACGGCTGAGATCTGGGTTACACTTGAAAACCGATTCCAAACAACAATAGATCAAAGGCATTCAACTCAAGAATGAACTTCATAATGTCTCACTCAAGAATTCAACTATGCACGATATCTTTTTGAAATTCAAATCTTTGGTTGATCAAATTGGCAGCCGCAGCTAGCTCGCAGTTGATCTGAAGACAAATCCTTTACATCTTCAAAGCTCTGCAAGGTCTTATCAATCTTTCAAAATGCGACCCGCACCATGTTTATGCAATCTCTCTTGATCAACTCTACCCTCTATTGCTGAGGAAGAAATCAATTATCTAGTGTCGGATGCTTCTTCTGCTACTCTGCAGCAATCCAACACACTTTGTTTCTATAGGGACCGGACGTCGTAACATAGGCAAACTATTCAACTACACAAAACACTCTCGACTACCAGCGGTATCCATTACTTTGTATAATTTTGTACAGAGGGCCACTTGGCAAAAACTTGCTGCTGGGTTAAATCCATAGTACATACCTTCATCTAAGAACAACATAAACAACTTTTGTTGCCAGTTCATAAAACTCTCCCAAGAAGTGGTACTGGACTCAGGTGCTTGTCGCAGCTCACTAATTCGCTCGACAATCTGTCTATATATTCTCCTATCAAGTATCAGATATCATCACTATTGGGGATGGTCGTTTTGTTAACATAGCTCCTCAGGGGCGGGGTTGTTACCAACCCCCTCTAAGCTTTACTTATCTCATATCTTCCACGCCATCCTTCAATTATAATCTTTTATTCTATTTCTAAACTCACTAAAGACAATAATATTTGCATTATATTTGATCCGTCTGGATTTACTTTTAAGGATCCTGAAGACGCAACAAGTTTCTTCTTGCGGACCCTTAATGGCGGCTGTATCCCATTCGGCCCACTTCTTACCTTCTCAACAACAGGCACTTGCAGCTACAACACAAATCATCTCAATTCTTGGCATCATAGACTTGGTCCACCATATAGAGAGTTTCTTTACCTCATATCTCATTGTAATCCTCATTTCATATAGAAAGCATTCTTTTTCATGTAATCTTGTAAAAGTCTAAAAGGTCATAAACTAGCATTTGAAATATCTGAAATCGTCAACAATGCTTCTCGCTTTAATTCATTCTGATAGTACGAGGCCTGCTCGGCTGTATCGATTCAAGCTACATGTACTATGTAATATTTGTTAATGGACTTTTCCAGATTTACATGGGTTTTGTCTATGCGACAAAAATCCAATGTTACTAATATTTTTATTGATTTTCACTACAGGAAAATCACTTATACGCGGCAGGAATTTTTCGGCGGCTTTCCCGGCGGTCAGTTTCGCGGCGTTCGGCGGATTTCCGGAGGTTCTCGCGGCTTATTTCCTAAAAAATTTTTCTGGCGGCTTTCGACGGACTAATTTCCTCCCCGCAAATTTTGCGACGGCTTATATTCCCGCAAAATTATCCGCGAATTTTCCGGCGGACTTTTCCAGCGGCTTTTTTCATTTTTTCTGGAGTATTTAAAAATTTAATGAAAATGAATAAAATTTTTACTATTTAAATGATTTAACAAAAAATTATTAAAATTTATATTAATAATTTAATTAATTTTCATTTTAAAATTAATTAGTTAGTTAATTTTTATTTTATATTAAATATTATTTTTTATTTTAAATTAAATATTTTCATTTTTAAAATCATTAAAAAATTAATTGATTTTTTATCACAATATACTTTAAATAAAAAATATTGACAAGAATTACTTATTTACATAATAGCCAATTCGGTGGGATGCTTGGAATTTACACGAGGGAGCGCGGGTTCGAAACTCACCAACAATGCCAGGATCGCGCGCGCGGGAGCTTCGGCAGTTTGCAGAAACGCGGGAAGGGCGGCAGCCGCGGAAGCGCGCGGGAGCGGCAGCAGCGGAAGCGGCGGGCGGGAGCTCATCGGGGGACGCCGGCAGCCGCGGTCAACGCGGGAGCGGGGCGCGGCGTCTGCAGTGGGTGTCGAGAGCGATGAGGTTTTTTTTAATATATAAATTTGACCGACGGTTTAGAACCGCCGGAAAGCCGCCGGCATAAATTGCCGCCGGTAAAAACCGCCGGAATTTATTTTCCTACGCCGTTTTTACCGGCGGTCACTTAACCGCCGGAAAAATTCAAAACCGTCGGAAAAGGTTCAATTACCGCCGGAAAAGGCTGCCGGAAATGGGTGATTTTCCTGTAGTGTTTAAAGCTCAAATGGAAAAGTATACTTTTCATCAAATCAAAATGTTACACACTAATGTCGGTGTGAAATATGTTAACCAATCGCTCAATCAATTTCTTAGGATCCATGGCATATCACATCAAATTTCTTTTTCGTATACACGAGAGCAAAACGGTGTTGTTGAAAGAAAACATGGACATATCATCGAGACTACTAGGACCTTACTTTTTACTGCCTCTGTTCCCTACAAACAGTGGCCAGATGCGATTTGGCATCGATCTATCTCATCAACCGAATGCCATCCCCAACAACAAATAATCTCTCTCTGTTTGAACTCTTACATCATTCCAAACCTGACTACAATCATCTTTACACATTCGGTTGCGAATGCTTTCCTTTAACTTCTGTTCATTCTCGCCACAAACTCCAACTAAAGGCTCATTCATGTGTGTTTCTTGGTTATTCTGGTACTCATATAGGATATAAATCTATGGATCTTGCTACAAATAAATATTCATATCAAGACACTTATTTTGATGAGAAGTACTACCCATTTTCTAAGATATCCTTACCTATTTATACTCTTGCTACTACCATCCCACCGTTTCTTCTAACTCCTCTATCTAGTAGACCTGCTCCTCAATCCACTATCCATAATCAAATTAGCAAACAACCTCAAGTCGTATCTATTCCCACTCAAACCTATACTTCTACTTCATGTTCATCTCATCAGGTTACTCAAACTGTGTCATCTCAACTACCATCTCAACTTGTCATGCCTTCCCATTTGATGGTAACAAGGCAAAAAATAAGCCCGCTCAAACCTACAATCAGATTAAACCATTTTCATCATCAAAATTCTCAAAAATCCATTCCCAATCCTACATCATATACGAAAGTTGTAAAACAATATGAATGGTGCCAAGCTATGTCTATTGAATTACTTGCCTTCCAAAAGCAAAGGACATGGAGCCTAATCAAGCCACCCTCTGACTCATCCATTTTAGGTTGCAAGTGGACATATCGTACCAAATTTCATGCAGATGGTTCGGTGGCAACATACAAAGCTAGGCTCGTTGCTCAGGGAAATCATCAAGAATATGGCCTAGGTTATACAGAGACGTTCGGCCCAGTTGCTAAGCTATCTCTATTTGTATACTCCTGGCAATAACACTCTACAATGACTGGCTTATTCAACAATTGGATGTGGCCAATGCGTTTCTACATAGAACTCTCTCAGAAACTATTTACATGACTTAACCGAAAGGATTTGAAGAGTCCTCTCATCTCGATTACATATGTCATCTTCACAAAGCTATCTATGGGCTTAAACAAGCTCCAAGATAGTGGTTCAACATGTTTACATCATACTTGGTGTCGTTGGGATTCTTTCACAGTCAATTAGATCAATCTCTACTAATTTTTCAACAATAAAAGGTTCAAATATTCCTACTCATGTATGTTGACGATCTTCTCATAACTGGTAATGATCAAGAAGCCATCACAAAGATTCTGGATCAACTAAACAAGGAATTCTCCATGAAACATCTAGGACAAGCAAATGAATTGCTTGGCATCAAGATAGATCATAGCAATCAACAATATTTCCTATCAACAGAAATATGCTTATTACATTCTCTAGCAAGCAAACCTGACGCAATGCAATCCTCTCTCAAATCCCACTTGCACGAAACTCCCTTCAATTTTCTCCGAAGATTCTATGCTCGCAGATCCAACTCTCTATAGGCGTCTCACGGGATCTCTTCAATTCCCGATGCTCGCTCATCTGAATTTTGCTTATATATAGTGTTAATCTATTATAGCAGCATATGCATAATCCTCTACCTCAACACAACTACCTCCTCAAAAGGCTTCTACGCTACATCAAAGGCTCGCTTGACTATGGTATACCCATTAAAAAAACTAACCTAGTCCTTAAATTCTTTTCAAATGCAGACTGGGTAGGTGATCCCATCTCTCAGAAATCAAAATCAAGTTATTGCTCATTTCTGGGAGACGATCATATCATGGACTGTTAAAAAGCATGATACAGTGGCCAGATCCTCAACATAATTTGAATATTTTGCACCACATCTCTAATGTCAGATATCATTTGGCTTCGCAGACTCCTCACAGACTTTTGCATACCCCAAAATTATCCAACAGAAATGTACTATGACAATACTTCTGCCATAGCATTAGCCAATAATCCTGTCTTTCATGCTCGCACGAAGCACATTGAAATTGATCAGAAATTCATAAGCGATCACATACAAACTCAAATCATTCGAATTCTTCCTATCAACATGATTGATCAAGTGGCCGACATATTCACTAAGTCTCTCTCTACATCGCGGTTTCACCAACTCAGGCTGAAACTGACAGTCATCCAACAACCATCAGTTTGTAGGGGCGTATTAGAGAATATAAATAAATAAATCTTGTATTATTATTGTGGTTGTGGATTAGAGGTGGCATTAGATAATTGGTTATCTTGTATAGAGGCCACTCATTCTATTTATAGCTATGTCCTCTATGTATTTGATAACAATAGTAATCGAAATAGATTTATTTTCTTCCCCTTCCCTATCTTGTATTCAAGAAGCTGCTTCTATCTTTCTACAGCCAATCAAACGATAATATGAAATGTTTGTTTGTCTGTTTGTTTGTTTGTTTGTTTTTGTAGAATCATTTGTCTTGGTCGCCGTTTCCTTAAAAAAATATATATATCGTTTGCTGATTAGCTTTGTGCAAATGACAGTTGGTAATGGCATACCAGGTCCAACATCTACTAGCTTTAATTTTTCATTTATGAAGGGTGCGCTGTCTTATACCTTTTTCTTTCTCCGGCGAATAAGTCACCATTGCCTGCTGAAATATTATATGACAATTACTATGCATTCCAATGAATTACCAATTTAATAAAGAGAATTTTGACCAGTGAGTTGGATAGTGCAGCATCAGTCTTATTACTTATATAATTAAGGAGAAAAATGCCTTCCCCAGTTGGCCTCTATTTTCCTTGTCTGCTTTCTGTAGAATCGATCGATGGCCGGTAAACTGCTGCATTTATGGTTGGCCGCAGCCGCCATGCTTCTGGCAATTTCCGATGCTAGCTTAACAAAGAACGCGACGAAGCAGTTCCTTCGGGCCCACAATGAGGCCCGAGCGGCGGTTGGAGTGGACCCTTTGCTGTGGAGCAAGAAGATGGCGTCCTACGCCTCAAAGCTGGCGTCGCATTCGCCAGGCTCGGCATCTTGCGAACTGTCAGAAGAGGCGGCGTCGTGTGAGTACGGGGCGAATCAAGCGGTAGCCAACTGGTTCGACGGCCCGGCGGCGGTGGTGGGGTCGTGGGTGGATGAGGGTCGGCAGTATTATAACTATGGATACAATTCGTGTGCGGCGGGACATCAGAATGAGTGCGAGAGTTATACACAGGTGGTGTGGAAGAAGACTGTGAAGTTGGGATGCGGTAAGGCCAACTGCGGTAAAGATGGTTCCCACGTTATTTGCCTCTATTCTCCTCCTGGCAATGTTCCTGGCGAGAGACCTTATTGATCCATCACAGCAGCACGGAACTAGCTTGGATTGCTCCCGCATTTCTTGCATTTATGATTATCCAGTGACACTTCTGTTTGACTGTTTGCATGTGCCTTTAATTTTTTTAGTGCTTTTTGTATGCGCATAATAAATTTCCTGTTTGAGTGGTTTGATTTTTAATTAATTAGTTTTTTTTTCTAACTCAATGTGATTTTATTTTATTAAGGAACTCTTTATCTTTGAAGAGTTTAGGGTTAAGGCCTTAAGGGTGAAATTCAGAGGATGTCAGCATTTAAATTAAATTTTGGAATCTAATTTTTTTGGATAATTTAAATCTTACTATATTTCTTAAATTTTATTCTCTAATTTTATGTCAAATTCTGAATTTGATAAACCTTTATAGAACTACTATATAAGAAATTTATGGAGATATGTTATTGAAGATTCCGGCTAACATTTTCTAAGATAGGAGATTAGATGGCATGATAAAGTTGAGATACGTTTTCCATGAAAGCAATGATCGATTGGAGGAGGCTCAATATTAGAGCTCTATTTGGAACTGCACCATAGATTAGGAAAGGTCATGCTTGGGATGGGAAATGAGATGTGGCAAGGGTGAAGCAAGAAAGTCTAAAAAATATTGGAAACTATGATGGGCAAAATTTTCAAAAATACTTCCCAATCTTTCATATATAGGAACTAGAGTTGTGAAGGTTACTAAAGAGGTTATATTTTAAAATAATAAAATTATATAATATTTAATTATTACATATTCATGAACTAATTGGAGAAGATAAATGTGACCTATCATATCTTACATAACTTTCCCCCCCCGTTCCACCCCTCTCTCGAAGTTGTTCGAGGGACTTTCTTGGAAGCTAGGAAGGAGCATAACACTTGAGTATGATGAACCAGTTCCAACAACCTCTTCCAGAAAGTCATCCCCCCTCGATGTCAATAGGTTTCCTTCAGCTCACTCGACTTACCCTTCTCAATTGCCATTCCACTTGACATTGATGGCTTAACTATAATAAAGACTGGTGGGATAGCCACCATACCCAGGACATACTCCTTGTATCTTTCTAAATTAACCCTATCAAAAGGGGGAGAAGTAGCGGACATAAAAGAATGGAGAGAGAGGGCTAGAACATAAGGGAATACATAACCAATCCCATGATAAAACCCATAAGAGAAGAGAGATATTGTGTTATTTTCTCTTTCTTAGTTGAAGCTCCACATTTTTAGAGCTCTTGCTTTCATTACTCTTGTATCTCTGGCTTGAATAATAAAGATTTTGTTTAGATCCACATTGTATCTTATCTTCTATATTTTTTCCTTTAATTCAGACATCATTACCTTCTCCCCACAAGCTCTCAGTCCACAGGTAGCATGAAGTATGGCCCAACATCATCCCTTTAGGTAGAACGAAGTACAGTAAGATGGGGTTCAACATCCCCTTAGTTGTAGTGAGCGTGGAAGATGTCAAAGATGAGAAAATCTACCTACCTAGTGACCTGAGACCTTGTATAATACCATGAATCATGAGTACACCACTCTCCGTGAACTATAAGAAATGGAAGAATGGATCATAAGGTGGTTCAATCACCTACCTAGCTGAGTGATCACCTCCTTCACCGATTTTAAAAGGATTTTATCGCACAAGTTGTCAGTGCCTAGAGACCCCCTAAAAGTATATAGGTTATGCTAAAGAAGATATAAGGACCTGGCGAGTTGCTAAGAAGCTTCATACTATGGTTCCAAAAGAAATGATCAACATTAAAGATCTTGATCCAACATTCTCCCAAGTATTCCTAACTTAGTGGCTAAGAAGGTACCTTGGGGTATGCATTATACTTGTTGTAGTTAAAGATGGTGGTAGAATTGTTGGAGTATAATGCTGAACAGTACAATCGAGTACAATTTTCCCCCATGAAAAAGTAGATAGAAGGCTTGGTCCCAAAGACAAAGAACCAAGGATCAAGCTTCTAGTGTAATTAGTGGCGCCCTAATCCATATAAGGCCCTCGCTCATTTGAGATTTTGGACAATAGAGACACCACTAGCATCAAGAATCGATGAGGTGCATAGAGAGGTTGCTCACCAACCTCAGGAATATCCAATTTATACTTCATTGAGGGTATCCATGACTTGGCTTGTTGAGGCCATCCAAAATAAGGAATCTTCAAACGATGGCCACCTATAAAGATTTGTAGCACCTAAGATACGTTAAGGTATTGTGTGTTCCACAAAGCTTATGGGCGAGACATTGAGGATTGCCACCACCTATGTAATCTAGCAAAGAACTCCAAAGGAGGGAAACTTAAAGAATTCATCCTTGCAAATCTTGAGTGACGACCAAGAAAAGTTCCACTTAAAAATGACACCAATAAGCCTAGGTTTGCTTGAGCAATCCATATAATAAGGGTAGTACCCACAATCATGAGCATCTATCAAAGAATCATCCCTGTTCATGCTAAGAAAGCACACATTAGATAAGTCAACACAATACCATACTCACAATCTACTAACAACATACCGATTACTTTTCAGCAGCAGAGATGAACAAATCGACGAAAAGCCCCACAGCAAAGCCATTTTCATTGCAAATTGAATCGCCAACTATTAGATTGACAACATTTTGATAGATACGGTCACGTCCCAGAATCTAAAGTGGAAGAATTTCACCTATTTTCCCTTTAGTCATATTTATTTTCTTCTTATAATTCATTTTTTCTTATTTAAGTTAACAACTAACATTCATTTACAATCAGATTATTGATAACCAAAGCTGACATTGTATTTAAAAAAATATAAATAATATTGAAACATAATTAAAATTTCATAGTCAATATTTATATTATACTAAAAAATCTAAAGTACAAAAATATATTGATAATAACCACCACATTCTACAAAAGAACACATAAAATAAAAAAGCTGACAATAAAATAAAGATATCATCAATGTATAGACTCACAATGCAGTGGCTTTATCTTTATCTGAAATCATATAAACATTATGTTAATGAGTATAGCATAAAAGCCTAGCAAATAACTAAAATATTATAGCTAAAGTCAATGCACAAAAAGAGAAATATTATGTTATAAATCATGTAAGGAAGTTAATAAAGTATTGTATATAATATGTGTCGGTCACCTATATCAATTTATCTGTTTGTTACATATCATATCTAAGTCTATCAATTATATCAGTTATATCTATTATCAGTCCCTATCATACATCATTCTTTATTAGTTAATCAATTAGTCAAGTTGACTTTATCATTTAATTAGTTAATCTCATAATTTATTATATCATATCAGTCGATCAATTATATTAGTAAAGTAGTCGTATTAGTATTCTTATTATATATATACCAATAATACCTATCATATATCAGTACTCTTATCATTTATTAAATATCCAAATGAGGGTATCTTAATCATGCTCTTGCACATATGACTCTTGTATCAGTCTCTAATTTCTTATGACTCTCAATCAGTAAATTAGGTGAATTAGTCTCCAAACTCCCGCTTCAATCTCTAGCTTATTATAATTCTCATCAATAAATCACATGGATTTTGAGGTTAGATATGGGGTTATCATATCATATATATGATATTAATCAATACTTCATTTCACCATACCTTATGGTGGTTCATATCATCTATTTAGCTTTCTAATTCTATACACATATATTAAATATTACATTCTATCTTACTAAGTTCTTACTAGTATTAGTGTTATATTTTAATACATATCAACCATATCAATCATTTCATGAAACTAAATTTTAGTACTATCATATCAAATCACAGTACATCATTTTAAACAAATTTTCAACATATATTTTTCATACTAATTTTACATAGAGATTCCAATATACATATTTAACTAGTAAAAATATAATAAAATTAAATTAAATTATTTAGAATGATCAAATCTATAACATATTAAAAGTTATATGGTGAAAGCTTACTAAATCAGGATATGTATTTTTTGGCAAATTTAGGATAGATAAAATTTGCATAAATCAAAACCATGAAAAATATGAGTAAGAGTGTAGTCACTTACTTTAAATAAAATAAAATTTACAATAGGAACAACAGACAAAAATGACCCAAAGTAAATTTCTCTCTCATATCTTTCTCCTCTTCTTCTCCCTTTCCTTCTCCTTCCTTTTCTTTCTTCCCAGCCAAGCAAATGATGCAAGAATGAGGGAGGGAGTGAATGGCATAGATATTTATATTAAAATATATAAAAACTCATTTTTATGCTTGGCATTGCGATATTCCCAATACCACTGTCCTACATGTGATTCTATAGTTATTGTAGAACATAATTTATTATCACTGCCATGCAAAAACCAACGCCTTAGCTTTTCTCCTTGCAGCTCTGATGTGCCCAAAGTGCAATGCAGTAGTGCTCAAAAGCATAGTGCAACGACGCTCTAGTTCAAAATTTTTAGACCTCTTCAAATTATAATTGAAAATTTATTTTAAAAATTTTAGGTTGTTAAAAATAAGGGGAGTTTAGTGAACATAATCTTTAAGGCGATCTTTGATAAGATGAATATGCTCGCCTCTTAACTTGTTCCTACTTCAGGACCTCTTTAAGGATTCTCAGGGGAGCCCAAGGAGACTTAAGGAATAATCACCCTACCTATCACCTAGGGTGAGAGAAACCATTAGTACACTACCATGGTGGACTATGTCATAGTAGATACTTTAGTTACCTACAATGTCATATTCGACATGCCATTATTGATTAACTTCAAAGCCACGGTATTCATATACCATATTGTAGTTAAATTTCTAGTCAATGGAAGGGAAGTCACTGTGAAAGGAGATCTAGCCCAATTGCATACTTGCTACATGTGTGTGATCGATCTAACTAATGCCTCTAAAGAAACCCTCCAACTATATATATAGTGAGGCCCAAGCCTTAAGAAAACTGAAGCCATTAAAGAAGTGCCTGCAGTAAAAATGAACCAGATAAATCTTTCTGAATTAGTACCTCTTTTATTAGGGAACATCGAGATAAGTTGGTAGAAACTCCCTATAACCATCTCAAAGAATTTATGTGGACAACTATATATATAACAGGCATCAACGAAGAAATTATATACCACTAACTAAATGCACAAAGAGACTCTCACCCCATCAACTAGATGATAAAAAAAGATTGCTACTTTACTCCCCAGACCCATTTTAGAAGAAGCATAAAACTACTCATCATCAATTTCATCAGAGAAGTCCAATATTTGAATTTGATTTCCAATATGGTGATAGTTAAAAAATCAACCAGCAAATGGAGAATGTGTGTGGATTTTACTAGTGTAACTTCATTATACCCCAAGGATAGCTACCCAAGGATTGATGCCCTAATCAACTCAGCTATGGGCCATCCCATCAAGAGTTTCCTAAATGCCTTCTTAGCCTACCATTATATAAAGATACATCTTGAAGGTTATGAAATAATTGCATTCATTATAGTATAAGGCATGTATTGCTATAAGGTTATGCCTTGCAGCTAAAAAATGCTATAGCCACCTATCAAAGAATGATGTATAAGTTTTTCAATGAATATAAGGATAGAAATATTGAAGTATACATGGATGACCTCCTAGTCAAGAGTAGATCACCCCATCAATATATCAAAGATCTACAAGAGACATTCCTTGCACTCAAAAAGTATAACCTAAAGTTGAATCTACTTAAATGCACCATCAGAGCCAATGTAGGAAAAATCCCAGGGTTCCTTATCACACAAGATGAAATAAAAATCAATCATGATAAGGTATAAGCCATACTTGACATGAAGATGCCTAGAACCGCTAAAGAAGTCTAGAAAATTACTAGTCGGTTTGTCCAATTCAATGGTTTCATCTCTTGACTAAGAGAGATGTGCCCCCTTCTTCAAAACTCTTACAAATGTATATAAATTTTCTTGGGGAGATGAATACAAAGCTACCTTCCATCAACTAAAAAGTCTCCTCACTTTGCCGCCAATTCTTTAATGCCCTTGGCTAGGCAAAAATTTGTCTCTATACCTCAAATTTGGTGAAGATTCTGTCATTTTCATACTCTTTAGGGAAGAAAAAGAGAAGCAATGGTCCATCTACTATGTGAGCCGCATACTCTGAGGCGTGGAGAAAAATATTCCATCATGGAACTTGCATGGGCACTAGTCAACTCATCCAGAAGATTACATCCCTACTTCTAGGCCCATCCATCCAAGTGGTAATTGATCATCCTCTTAAGGTAGTACACACTAAGCCTAACAACTCAAGCCGATTACTTAAAAGGCATATTGAACTAAGTGAATTCTTCATCATATTAGTGGAGCCTCATCCAAGATTGCAATGGGAGTTTTGGTAGGGGCTGCCTCTGCCTCGATTGGGGTGGATGTTAGAGTAGAATGTTGTGTTATCCTTCGAGATTGTTGTATCTTTGAGCAGTTGGATTTGAATGTTGATCTCCTCACTGCAAAATAGCAAATAGAGGACCTCCAGACTAATGGGTGTTTGCCATGTGCGGACGAAAGTTTTGAAGGAGTTGTATGCCGCGGGAAGACCATTTATGATGTAGTGAATGATATCTTCAGTTTCGACTTTGGACCTAACTGTCGCAATATTGTCTACGATGCCTTTAACCTGCGCTAAATAATGCTGCATAGAGTTGTCCCCCATGGTAATGTTGTGAGAACGTTCTTGAGTTGAATGACTTGCGAACGATTCGTGGGCTAAAGCCGATTTTCCAGTGTTCTCCATATTTCCTGAGCTGTGGATAGGGGAAATGGTGGAGAAAATGGCTGAAACAAGATTTTGGTCAATGAGCTTTCATAGTCGATGGTCTGCATATGTTGCATCGATAGGCGGAAGCTGAGCGTCAGTTAGATACCCTTCAAACCCATTGGCACATAAGAGTTTGAGGGTTTGCAACCTCGAGATGGCGAAGTTCTCATTATTGAGTTGAATAGTGACTGTTTGCTTGATGTTGGACATGAGAAACTTGAGCGGGGAGGGAATGGTGAACTCTACCATGGACACAAACAGAGATGAAATTGGTTGGGTTGCCGACTGAGAGTTGGAGGCCTGGTGTTCGATCATTCTCCCAGGATAAAAGAGCGGTTACTCTTCACAGCTCTAATACCATGAAAAATCTTAAAACCATATGGAAAGCATAAAAAGTAAGGAAGCAGAAAAGCATAAAAGCGAAGGAGGAAGGACTTAAAGAAATGTCCCTTGAATCATTTCCATAGCATATTCACGGCAACTTACAAAGGAGCTGGTTCAGCCTATATATAAATAGAAGAAAGAGTATAATTCCATTAGAGTGAAGCTTCTGGAATGGTAGTGGAGGCGTGAGTTGTCAGTCGGCTGGCAGTGGGTGTGGTCCGTCCGCGTATACCATGTGCTAACAGTTCCTCGGGTACAATCGAGCAAGCAGGACGAGTTTCGCAAAAGCCATCATTTCTATCATTTTACATTAATTCATGCAAATACATAACATATATATACCATGTAGCTCAATCATCAGATAGCCTACAGTAACATGCATCTTCATTCAACTCTACTTAGCTGCAAATTCATTTACAAACATGGCGGGGCAGGAAAAAACAAAAAAATGCTGATGAAACTACAACTAAGCAAGAACTATCGAACTACTTGCTAACTGTGCCTCTTCATCCATCTCGTGCGTGCTTGCTTTAATTTCCAAGGAATTCAAGCTAAGCACCTTTAAGAAGCTTCGGCTTGAGTGAAATCTGTTGATAGATCGGCTCCCTCCCATTTTCCTCTCCAACTCTTCAGAGAATGTCTTCAGGAGTTCATCAAATCGGCGCCTCACGGTGGGGTACCTTGATATAGACTTTGTGATTCCTCGCAACCTTTTCAAGGAAAAAAAGTAAAAACAATCTCAACAGAGGATAAGGACAAGGCTTCGAAATATCGGCTCTTGGCTTGTTTGGCGATCAATTTTGATGATAATTTAATTACCTCCGAGCTATGGCGCTGATTTCAGCTAGTCTTCGCTCGTTTTGATGTGGCCATGCAGCAGCTACACGGCTAAGTCTCTCAGGATGGCCTAGCAACAAAACCAACTTGAAGAGGTAGTCCTCTTCCTCTTCAGTGAAATTCTCTACCCTGATCTGTTCCTTAATGATCATCAGAGGATCAAAGAAAAAATCGAAGAAGGTATCTTTGGGTCTGTTTTGGGTCATTACTTCTGTATGATCGCCTGCATTAAAAAATGGTTATTGATACAAGTTTTTATGCTTCAAAAGTAGACACTTAGGAGTAAACGTAAGAGAATTGATTGAAGAGTTTTTTTACTCACTTAGGAGTAAACCATCCACATTCTCCTTAGCAGAACGAACAAGTGCTTGAAGGATACAATATGCAGGCAAACCAATGCTTATGATGGAGTTTCCAGCCTTACCAGACTTGAACTCCTTCACATCTTTTGGAGTTATAACTTCTTCAGCAACCAGATTCTCACCATGTAACTTGCACTCAGCAAATAGGTGCTCAAGCAACTGCAACGGGAAGTATGTTTACCCGCTTGCGATCTTTTTTAGCAATGAGTGATCATGAAGATGATTCAAGAGAAAGAGAGAGAAAAATAGTAACATGTTTCACCTTCAACGGTTTCACTTCTGCCATTGCGTTCTTGAATGATGCGGTTCGTGAAGGGTTCTTGGAATCTTGTTTTCTCTGACTGAAAGAGGGAGGTATTGAGAATGTGCTACTTCTTGATGTCTGTTGGTTAGTGCGATATTGATACCTAGCAAAACAATAACCAAGCTTGTCAAAATTTAAAAAAAATGCAATCAAACTACCGTTGAAAGAAAAAATTGAGCACCTAGGAAAGCAAGATCCTTCAGGTAAGTCAACAACATCATTGCTGTATTCATCAAACATTGACAAGGAAGAGACTATATATGCCACACCCATCTTGATCGATGACTCCTGAACCAATAATTAAGATAGACAGAATTTCATAATGGCATTTGCTTGTATGTTTTGAAATTTTTTTGTAATAACTAGGCAAAGGGAAGTGTCCTGCAAATAGCCAAACCTGGTAAGCAACCACAGCTGCATATCCCCCTAAAAACAAGCTTGAAATGCTTGAGGCAAAAACAGCACCTCCAACTGCTACCGGCCAGAGGAGAATAGCAAGGCCAGCAAAAGGCACACATACTGTCTCAAGAAATGGACCTTCACGGCCAATAAGATCATGAAACAGCCTGTTCCATCCCTTGAAAAGCATATATGGGCTCTTAAACAGGGCAAGTAAGCTAATCATAGGCAGGTCAACGAGAATTCCAAGAACACCAGCTAACAAGGCACCAGGAAGACAGCTTAACCTGGAGGGGTCCAAAAATGAAATTCGAGCACTCTATATCAGTCACTTTACCCTTTAAAAAATAATAAAGAAGAAAAACACAGAACAATGGTCAGAGAAATTATAACGTAGAATGAGGAACACAAATTAAAAGTAACATTCACTTTCAGATGGGATTGCAAAGGCTAGACCGGATGCAAAGAAATGCAATGAAGTCATTGTTATCATATGAAATGTTTATTATGAATTATTATTTTTGGAAAATACAAATAGAAGGATATGCCTATTTTTTATTATGAATTATTATTTCCTTTTCTTGTCTTTCTTCTGTATGCCTATTTTTAGGATCCCATATCCTAACCCTAGCCGTCATGTCTCTCCCCATCTCATCAACAGCACCCTCATTTCCTTTTCTTGTCTTTCTTATGTATGCCTATTTTTATTTGAGTCGTCATCATAACAAGTTGATCTCTCCCATGTCTCATCCTGTGGAGTTTAATGCCTCTCAATTTGTTTCTTCTTTATTTCTTTAAATCATATTTTTCTTTTCATAAATATTTGTCATCAACATAAAATTGAGAATAATACTCCAAAATTTTTAGAGGAGGAGGTGGTGTTGGTGTCTGTCTTTCAAGTGATTCCGGCGGTGGCTACGATGGTGGTGGCTATGGGAAAGGCGGTGAACAAGAGGTCGAGACTATTGAAAGGAAGTTGTTGCGGCTTGGGGGTGCATGAAGGCGTGATTTGTTAGAGGCTTTAGTTTATGGTTTAAGTAAGTTATATATATATATATAGGCATACAGCTCACACTAGTAAGGCAAGGTGGGCCTCAACCAAGCTGAGGCATGTAAGCAAGAAAGGATAGTACTATCTTGTCCACCTGGCATCCACGTCACCTGACCGTTAATCCCCTTTCTTGTATTAGCTTCTATATATATCTCTATCATGTATCATTACAAAGTGTAATAGAATTAATCTTTCATTTCATTCTTTGACTTGATGTTCCTCTTTCTTTCTTCCTTAAGCCATGAATCTTCATGGTATCAGAACAGTAACGCTCCCTCCCTCTTACTCGTCTCTCTCCGGGCATCTTCCTTCCCACGCTACCTCCATGGATTCCTCATCAACCAGATCCTCTCATGATCACTCCACTACCGAAGAACCGTCTCCTTCTTCCCCTCTGACGATCCCGACGTCGCTTAAATTTTTTATGGCTAACATCAAAAACATCATCTCCCCACCCCTTACAGCCGACAATCACCCACTCTGGCGATCTCAAACTCTCAAGTTATTTCGGGCAAACGGCTACCACGGGTTCTTGGACGGAACCTCTCCTCCTTCACGGACAATCACGTCGTCGGACGGCAAGATCACACCAAATCCGAAATACGATACCTGGCATTTGCTAGACCAAAATCTAGCTGTTGCCCTATACTCGGTCATATCACCGAGTATCCTACCTTATATTATTTTCGTCGATCACTGCACGAAAATATGGTCGATTCTTGATTGTCATCTTCAATCCAGCACGGGCTCCAAGATCATTCAACTTCGCCATGAACTTCATTATCTAACTATGAAAGATAAAAACAATGTCCCAATACCTTCTTGACATCAAGAACAAGGTCGATTCTCTCGCCGCAGCTGGCGCCCCTGTCGTCGTGGAGGACATCATTCACTATACCCTGGACGGTCTTCAGCCGAACTATCAAGCCTTCAAGACGGCAATCCGCACTAATCTTCAACCTCTCAATCTTGACGATCTCTATACGCTACTTTGCAGTGAAGAACTCAATCTTGCTCTATACGCTACTTTGCAGTGAAGAACTCAATCTTGCTCACGAGGTATCCCGAGAAATGCAATCCCTTCAAATCTCTGAGAATGCCACGGCTCTTGCGGCAACATGAGGTCGAGGTCGAGGTCGATCAACCAATGCTCGCGGTCGCAACTCTTATTCTAACAGATCAAATTCCAACTATAACCGCGGCGGAAAAGCACCAAGATCGTCCGTCACTTGCCAAATTTGTGGCAAGAACGGACACTTTGCCGTAAAGTGTTGGCATCGTCATGACGATGACTACAATACTGAACAACCCACTGCAGCTCTCTTCACGTCTCTGTCATCTCATCCCCCCCCCGAATGGTACCTCGACAGCAGAGCTTCCTCGCATCTAACCTCCGATCCAATGCAACTTCAATCCGCACATCCCTACACCGATTCCAACCATGTCACTCTTGGTAATGGCCAGCAAATCCCCATTCATACCACCGGCAAAGGTCTTCTACCCACACGCAAGGTAGCCTAAAACTTTCACATCTAAATCTTGTTCCAAATCTCTCTTTCAATCTTCTATCCGTTCATAAACTCACAACTGATAACAACTGTCTCATAACCTTTTCGTCCAATGGCTATGAACTCAAGAATCAGAGGACCCGCCGAACTCTTCTCACGGGTCCGTGTATTAATGGGTTATATCCAATTCAAGCTCGGTCATCCAAGAACACTGACAACTCTCAGTTTGCTCTCCTCTCCATACAGCACATTCCCGATCTGTGGCACTGACGACTTGGGCACCCCTCTTCGTCCACGTTGTCTTACATGGCCAAACATTTTTCTAATATATGTACTTCATCGTTTTCTCGTTGTAACTCATGTAAAATGGCCAAAAGCCATCATCTACCATTCAAAAAGTCTCAAAGTATTAGTTATGTGCCATTTTCTTTGATTCACTCCAACGTCTGGGGACCGTCCCCAACAATTTCCAATTATGGACATCGGTATTACGTTAGCTTCATTGACAATTTCTCAAAATATACGTGGGTATACCCTCTAACTCAAAAATCTAAAGTCCTTAACAAATTCATGGAATTTCATAAAATGATTAAACGCCGATTCAACACCCACATTCATATAATTCGCACTGACGACGGCTGCGAATTCATCAACAATAAATTCAAATTGTACCTAACCACTCAAGGTATAATTCATCAATCCACTTGTCCTTATTCACCATCTCAAAATGGCGTAGCCGAACGCAAACATCGGCACATCACTAAAACCATTCGCACTCTTCTCATAGACGCCTCTCTTCCCTATCATCTCTAGGTCGACACCCTTATGACCGATGTGTTCTTAATCAATCACTTACCCTCTCCTAACACCTCTCACAAGTCACCATATGAACTTCTTTACCACAAACCTCCTGATTATAATTACCTAAAAGTCTTCGAGTGTCTTTGCTACCCCTGACTCAAACCTTACACCCAACATAAACTCTCTCCTCTATCTCACCCATGCGTCTTCATCGGATATGCTCCAACTCATAAAGGGTACCACTGCTTAGATCCCCTAACCAACAGAATTTATACCTCACGGCACGTTATTTTTAATGAAGATATCCTCCCATTCACTCAACTATCTACTACTAACAACAACCTCTCCAAGTCCGAATCCAACATCCCTTCATTATTGCTTGTACCTACCACGGGACTACCCATATCTATCAGCAAAACTCTACACACTCCTCCCACCCCCTATTCCCATCCAACATCCAACTCTATGAATCCTTCAATGCCCACTGCTGAAAACAGCTCCTCCCCTCAAATTTTAGACTCATATCTTCCCGATTCTTCACCTAATCAACCAACAATCCTCCCTAGTCGCATCCCATGCTTACTAGATCCAAAACCGGGCACTCCAAACCTAAACAAATTCTCAGCCTTTCCCACATAATTCATAATACTGAACCTACCACTTACAACCAAGCCGTCAAAAGCTAACACTGGTGCTCCGCCATGTCGCAAGCATTCCAAGCACTACAAACTCAAGGCACCTGGGATCTTGTTCCCTAGCTTCCCAATCAAAATGTCCTCGGCTGCAAATGGACATATAGAACAAAACTGAGTTCTGACGGCACAGTGGCTCGGTACAAAGCCAGACTCGTCGCAAAGGGATTCAATCAAGAACATGGTGTGGACTACTCGAGACATTTAGTCCAGTCGCTAAAATTCCTACCATTCGCGTCTTCATCATAATTGCTCTGCACTTCAACTGGACTATACATCAACTCGACATATCCAACGCATTCTTACACGGCAATCTATCCGAAACAGTTTACATGCAGCAGCCGCAAGGATTCCAAGACTCGCTTCATCCCACTCACGTTTGCAAACTCAAGAAAGCACTATATTGCCTCAAGCAATCACCATGTGAATGGTACGCAACCTTATCCACTCACCTTCAACAATTCGGTTTTATTATAAGCACATCTGACCCATCTCTTCTTACTTACAAATCGGGTTCAACCTGTCTCTACATATTAATTTACGTCGACGATATTCTCCTAACTGGCAACTCTTCCATCGAAATGGACAAGTTGCTCTCTAGTCTCCATAATCGGTTTCAAATGCGCAATTTAGGCCTCTCGCACACTTTCTTGGGATTCAAACAACACAAACTCCATCCGGTCTCCTATTACATCAACAACAATATGCCACTCGCATATTGGATCAGGCGGGCATGCAGAATGCCAAACCAATTGCAACTCCCACCTCCTGCAAGCATACCGAGACCAACACCTCTGCAATGCAGTTCGCCAATCCCCAACTCTATTGCCACCTAATCGGATCGCTTAAATATTTTACTCTAACGCGCCCTGACATCCAGTTCGCGGTTTATCAACTAATCCAACACATGCATGAACCACGGAACGTGGACTTCGATGCTCTTAAACGACTACTATGCTACATTCAAGGTACAACTAATCATGGCATTCCTTTATATCGTGACAATCTTGTTCTACATGGCTTTGTTGATGCCGACTGGGCTAATGATGCTCAAGACCGCAAATCGGTCTCTGGTTACTGCAATTTTCTTGGCAAATCTCTAATCTCTTGGCAAGTCAAAAAGCAAAACACCATGGCCCACTCCTCCACCGAAGCCGAATACAGAGCCTTGGCCACCGAAGCATCCGCAATTCTATGGCTTTGCCGTCTTCTACAGGATATTCATCTTCCCCAAACTACTCCAGCAACCATCTACTGCGACAACACCTCCACCATTGTTCTTGCCAATAATCTCATCTACCACGCTAGGACAAAGCATATAAACGTCGATTGTCACTTTATTCGTGACAGCATCTGAGCAAAACACTTATCTGTTCACCACATCTGTACAAAGGATCAACTATCCGACATATTTACAAAATATCTACCTGCACATCGGTTTAAACTACTTCGCAACAAACTGATTGGTATCTACCCATCATCAGTTTGACGGGGGCTGTAAGCAAAAAAGGCCAGTACTATCTTGTCCACCTGGCATCCACGTCACCTAACCGTTAATCCCCTTTCTTGTATTAGCTTCTATATATATATCTGTCCTGCATCATTACAAAGTGTAATAGAATTAATCTTTTGTTTCATTCTTTGGCTTGTTGTTCCACTTTCTTTCTTCCTTAAGCCGTGAATCTTCAAGGCATAAGCCTCATAAAAAAAGCTCGAGGCGTAAGCCTTGAGACATTTTTCATTGGAATTGCGCTGAGGTGAACCTCAAGGCAACCCTCATATTGCACAGTTTTAAACAATGGAGTAAACCATCTTGGAGGCTCAACATTCCTTACCTTCTTCAGTGAACTGGTAGGGACCCTCGTTCCTCACCAAGACAACTTCTTTGTCATTCACACTCAACCGCTCACCCCACACCCATTGAGTCTCAAGTTTGAAACTATTTTATTGGTAGAAATTAATTACTATGAACATATCATTAGAATGAGTAAATATACCGATACTTTACTAATTTAGTAAACAATAAAATGGTCAGTATAGGGTGAAACTTAGAACTCACCATGGAAAACACTAATGATCCACTGAAAAACAAGAAATGCCGTGAAGCTTATCTAACAACATTACCTGGCACATGAGCTGATTAAAGGTGTGACAAAGAATAAAAGCTTCATGTGGATAAGGTTGACAATTAGATTGAAAAGCATATCTTTTGTGTGCAGGGCGTAGGGAATTTACAGCTCAATGCAATGCACCAAAAATGTTAAGACCAACCTATGCTTACCAACATCCAAGATAATTTTCTCGTGTGCCCAGATATACAAGCTCATTCTCGGAAAACATCAAATAGGCAATCTAAATAATTAAAAAAAAAAAAAAAAACTTTGACACGATTTCCAAAAGTTTGATTAATAAGATTGCCTTAGAAATATAATGGTATGGAAATAGATGCACAGAAACTTAGCATCTTAAGCAATCCCTAGAACCAAACAGTTCAATGAAATAGCATTTTATCAGAAGGGCTAGCACAATGCTTGTTTTGACATCTCCCAAGTATAATCTGTATAATCGTAGCGAGGATATAAAATAGAGGACAATTAAATAAAGTGCATTTAAAAAACCAATGATTGTGGTTGTCAAGCAAAAATAATAATTTTTCCTCCACATATTTCTAATTTGTATATATCTATTTTCAATCTAAAGTAAATGCGGGCAAATTTTACACATATGTTAATAGACTCCATTAAGAAAAATAAGCATTATCAACTATTGCAAAATACTAAACCTGATCTCATATGGTGTCCCATTTGGAGCATCTTGAAGACGAAGATCATCCATGATTGAGAAGTATGAATGGAAACAAACATCTTTCAAATCTCTAACAACTGTACAACTTCCCCTAATCGTATTCCATGTTCCATCCTACAAATTGAGAGAATCTTCTCTTAGGAAGAACAAATGCATTATGATAGAAAAACTGAAAGCGCACAAATGCCAAACAATCAGAAATGAATACAAATAACATATTTAAGCAGTTTACCATAATACAATGAAGAAACTTATCTTGCTTTCCTTCCCCAATAGCATCAAATGTAGCCATTACTGGCATTAGAAATCCATAACCTGCTCCAATGAGGGCACTCCCCAAGATACCTATCAATGGCCACAAAAGTAAAAGAATGGATACAACAACAGAAAGGACAAGTTTAAGGACAGGTCCCAGCTGTTTGGCCCTATGAACGAGAAAAAGAAGGTTAAGACCATCAGAATGAGTGAACTTACAAACAGTCAAAAAAGGCTAAAGAAGAAGGACAAGATAGTAGTTAGTTCTATGGATCGCAAGTTCACCTTGCTATACAATAAAATGTCCAAAATGCATGTACAGGCCAAAGACCCAAAATGATGGCAGAATTGCCGGTGGTCATGACAAGACAGACAATGGGGCAAAGCAAAATACCTGAAGTGGAAAGTTAAGATTAGTGAAATAAAGATGAGTATTTGCACTAGACAAAGTACATATACCAATTATAGATTCTTTCGATAATAAGAAGAAGGAAGAGAATTGAAAATTAAAATGGACAAGTGCCAAAAAACTATTCCGTAAATGCTCTATTTTAAGCCAATAGGAAACACCATGCACTTCTTCTATACTTTTCGCAATTCACAAGGAGACGCTCAGCGACAGAAAAGCAGAACAGAAGCATCTAATTAGGATACGATCTCTCGATCTTATGTGAAAGTTAGTCCAAAACAGGGGAAGACTAGTTGTTAATAAAGCCTTTTGTACTACAATTTGTGACAGAAAAATAAGGAGTAAAATATACAATCCAACTTACAAGAAAATGTTGCAAGCCATCTAAACAAAGCGATGGAAATGCATCACTGGATCTACTACAGAAAGAGAAAAGGAAACTGACCTTTAATGCTGCCCAGAAGTAGCAGACCGAGGAAGAAGGGCAAGAAGTAGAATAGCCTCCAAAGAGTCGACCAAAAACCACTTGGAGGCTCCATTACACAGGAAAAAAAAATAAAGTAGAACCTTTAACAGTACTCTCTCAAAACCACATCAAAATAAGGCAAAATCAAGGTCCCCTAGCACGTTAAAATACTTCAAAATCCCTACTTGAGCCATCTAACACGCCAAAATCCGAAGATCCAAACTTCAGTTTTATCAAAAAAATCGCCCCTTTCCGACTCGCAGTGCTTCGACAATCAAAATCCATACGATGTAGTGAAGCAATTGTTCGACTCAAAAACTTGGAAATATATCGATCATATATATGCCGGTTGCGTGTGGAAAAGGGCCGTGTACACTTCAACAATTAAACGCAAATCGAAGCGAAGCGTCATGGGTAGAACATCTTCGAAGAGACGTAGAAAGAACAGGATTCGGTGTGGTGAGAAAGTATCTGGTACTAGCTGCGGATGCTTGCTTTTGAGAGCGATAAACCTTTTTTTTCCTTTTATATATATTATTATCATCCAAGCCATTTAATAACAACAATCACGTGACTCGTCCCTTTCCCCATTTTGTAAATGAGGAAGGCATAAATATATATATGCGTATGCATTGTCAACTATTAATTTTTATTTTTTGAGAACAAGCATAAAATAAAACTGTGAATTCTAAGCAATGATTATCCATTACAAGTTATTTTAAGACAACTAGTATGTATTTGTCTTAGTGAACGATATTAAGCTTATTTAACTTCAAAATATTTTGGCCTCACGTGATTCCCTGTAAATGAAAATTAAACTTTAAGAAATAATTTTTTTTATTTTTTATTTGTTTGATGTATGAAATGAAATTAACCTATGCGAAAGGATTTATGGATCATGAAAGGTTTATGATATTAAAACTAATATTAATTTTTAAGCACATATAGTCAAACGAAAATAGATATGAGATGATATCTGCGAGGTAATTTCAGTTAATAATTAATATACATTAACAATGACAGAAAAATGATACCCTTTGAGAATAAAGAGAAATCATTAAAAATAACAGTCATATACCACATCAAGAGAATCAAATATATCATATAATAGGATTTTATTGAACTCATAATGACCGAATTGTTCTGCATTAGAACATTCATAGTTCAAAGTGTGAGAGTTTAATATCTTAACATTGTATAAAGATCTAGGGTTTAGGGTTTTTACTTTAAAAGTTCAAAAAGATAAAAAATCACAGGATTTGATCTAAATGAAATGATTTTATTGGTAATTATGTGATTGAAAATTTGTGGGAGTAGAGTATGTGTTTTAATTCTTAGCTTTGGATAAAAAATCCAGCATGCACAAAATAAAGACTGATATATTCTCAAAAAATTATCTTGATCAAGCATGAATCTCGAAGCACAATCGAATCGGAAACTTCAAAAAATTAAATCCGGGAGCACCTGAACTCCGATTTCAATGAGCTTATAGTCAAACTGAGCGTCTCGGAAATAAAAATTCAACGACACAAAATTCAACTCAATCCGAACCCAAATAAGCCCAAATCAAGCACCCAAAGTGCTGTTGGAAAGTTCATATCACAATTTGAGTTATCAAACAGTCTCTGATTTTGACGAGTTTATAGTCGAATCGAACCGCTCGACGAGACAAATCCAACGAGCCCAAGATTGCCGAATTCTGACATCATTAAGACCTTCAAATGTCTAACGAACGGTACACGGTCAAGGAATTTAATATCGACCGTCCATTTGACCACTCCTTACTAGCCCCTCATCTCACACCTATTTACAAGCTATGTCACTCCATAAAATCTATAAATAGACACCCCATTTCTCATGAAAGGGGACTGAAGCAAGAGGAAGCAAGAAGAAGAGAAGAAGAAGAGAAGGAGAGGGAGAAATAGCTCCTCCTCGACCACCGCCGGAGTTCTTCCCGCCGCCTGAATAACGCCGGAATTCTGTCGGACATTCGGGTGACGCCGGAACTCTGCACAACTTTGTAATTGAATCTCAATTCAGGAAAAATCCATTGTAATATGATCGTCTTAACTTGTTGGACGAATCAGTATCTTGTATCTCAAACCAAACACTAGTAGAATCATTTCAACTGGGCGAGGCCCCATGGTTTTTTTCCCTTTTTAAGGTTTTCCACGTAAAAATCCTGGTGTTTATTTTTCTTTCATGTTTGTGTGCTGAATATTCGTACAACACTCGGACGGAAATTTACGAACTTTATCGCCGCGTATATTCTAGCCCGCAACAAAGACGTGCAAGAGGTATAACCAATAATCTTTATCTAAGTAAGTTGATTCGATTAGGCCGATTATTATTATTCTTGTAAATGTCTCTAAATTTAAAATAGCCATTAGCCAATCAAATTGAGCCATATTTGATCACGGCAATCTCAATTTTTAGTAACGCATACATACCCTTGTTTTATTTGATCACACATGTCGTCATGATCACAATATTCATTTGATCACAAATCTTATTGCAATCATGGTCTTTATTCAATTGAGTTTCTCACTGCAATCATAATCTTTACTCGATAGAGTGTCTTGTCATGATCGTGTTCTTTACTTGATCATGCTACTTGTATCAATTGAATTATTTTGCCCAATTGCATAAATCATGCATTGATCATGATCTTTATTAATTATATAAAGTATGCCCACAAGCATTCTAGTTTATATGAATTTTATCCTGAAAACTGATTAAATTATATATATAATAATATTATATTATTAATTATTTATAAATATCTGAAGCCACTTAACTAACTTTATTAACATGCATTTCTTAATTCCCTAAGTCGGCTAACGGATAAATGAATTAGGAAATTAGAGAGAAAATATAGGAGAGAGAAAAGAGAACTTGAGATTTGAAGGTCCTAGAACGATTTTCGTTTGTTGACACCATGAAAATTTTCTCGTCTCATTGTAAGGAACTATTACCCTATTTCTAATTTCAATAATTTTGTATTTTTCTATCAAATTTTTATTTTCATTACCAAAAAATAAAAAAAAATTGCATTGATAAAACTTTTGCAGTGTAACTTTTTATATGTTATAAAAATTAAATTATGGACATTTTGAATATTTATTTAAGATTTTTTGCCTGGTAATTTTGATAAAACCTCAATTTTTACATATTCAGAAATTTATTTTAACATCTAAAAATATTATTTTAGTTCAATTAAAGCTTAAGAATATTTTTATATACAATCTCTAGTAATTTTGTCAATTTTTTAAAATGTGAGTTTTTACACAGAAAGATTTTTTATTGCCTTTTGTTAGTACATTTTGACACTTTCTAAATTAAGCATAATTATGATTTATTTTATACACTACATTGAAAATGAGTATGAATATATGGTTGAGTACTAGCTCGTCACTATTACTATTATAGTATTGTGATAATAATATTTGTGTGAGAAAAAATAAGTTAAAACTGATTATTCACTAATGTTTGCTTAATTGAGACTGATTGACTTGTATATAATGGTAGCATGATGGATTTTTCTTTAAATATATGATTTGGTGTTATTCTCAACTAATTCACTTGGTATTATCCTCGACTGATTCATGTGATACATTGATTGAGAGTTACAAGGTGATGATTAATGTGCTAATGGGTAATTAAAGAGTGAAGACTCTGTTTACTGAGCCAATAATTTATTGATACTTTTACGATACTGGAAAAATACTGCTTAAACTAGGACTTCTTACTTGTGTGACTATATAAATGCATGTTGTTGAGGCATTATTTGTATTATTATACTAATTTATTATTATTATATGAATTTGTTATTACTGTGTTAATTTACTACTTCTGCTAGTAGATTGTTATTATTACCGATATAAACATTGACATTATTTTATGCTACTGATTCAATGCACTAATATTAAACATGTGACATATAGAGCACATAATATATTGATTTAATACTGATATAAAATACCTAGATACTATATGTACGTACACTCCTATGTAATTTTACTATATTGATATGATTTCAGTAGTATTTATCGATGCTTTGATTTTATTGCTTTATGTTATTGCTTTACTGATTAATAGTATTTGTATGATGATTGCTTTATTGATTGTACTCCCATATTAATTTATTGATTTCTCTATAATACTACTTTACTTGCTTTCATGATTTAGATTTGAGTGAATTTTATGATATATATATATATATATATATATATATAGTTTTATTTTTTCTAGGATTTATATTGATTGATGAAATTAGATAACTTTTAGTATGATATACTAAAAGATAAAAGAATTCTTTCAAATCAAACTTTGGGGCATCACAACCCAATCTTTATTTATAAATTGATCAACAATGTGATGCTAGCTTACGTAGCACTTTGGTGCTCAGTCAAATCTGATTAATATGGGTGCTAGCATTGTGGTGCTGAGGACAGGCAGCGTTGAGGTGCTACTTTTAAAAATTGAATCAATAGGTTTTTTGATCATATGACAATTGTAGTGCTCTTCACATTGCAATGTTATAACACTCAAAGTGACTGCTTCCACAGTGTTTCATCTACCCTATTAAAGTTTTAACCAAGCATTATATATAATATTGTATAGGATGCACTATAGCTCTCAGTCCAGTAGAATGACTAGAGAGCTTAAAGTCATAGCATTTTTGCACTCTAGAGAGTGAATTAATATTGTATCGTCAAATTCATCTAGTGCTTTAACTTAGTCAACTTAAATAATATTTTGATGATTGACATAACGCTGCAGCGCTACAAGGTGCAGTGTTCCTGTGTTAGATTGAATTTTTTCAAAATAATTCCTATACCCTAAATGAACTACTGTAGAGCCAAGGATAATTCTAAGCTCACTTCTAGTCATATAATCTTTTAAACTTAACAAAGATTATCAAACATACAACTTCTAATAACAAACATAAGGATCAATTGGGTTGCCTCCCAAATAATACTAAGTTTATAGTCTTTTACAAGATTATACTCCTAATAATAAACATAGGGATCAATTGGATTACCTCCCAAATAATGCTAAGTTTATAGTCTTCAACTAAACTATATTAACACACAGTTTAAAATAAGATAGCTTTGTAGAGCTCCTAAGGTGATGAACATCTCCTCTAAGATATGGTTTTAATCTCTGGTTATTAACCTTAAAAATCTGGGTAGTTTTAGGTTCACAAATATCATTAGCTTCATAAGGATACACCTTTATAAATAATTTTAATCTTAAGTTATACATATGAACTTGTCTAGGTTCCAATTCATTTCTAATGAGTATATGATCATGCCACTTCTTAATTTTTTTTCTTAAATACTTTACATTTTCATAAGCCTCATGTATAAATTCCTCTCTCATTCAACTATATCAATCTCTTTTCTTTAGCATCCATAAGATTATAACTCAATTCCATCGTTGTCCAAAATGTTTTAAGTTTTAATTCCAATGATAAATGGAAATCTTTTCTAAATATTAATTTATGGTGGAACATTTCAATATGTGTCTTAAATGCAGTCTAGTAAGCCTAAAGTGCATCATCTAACTTCAAAGCTTAATATTTCATATTAGGACTTATATTTTTGTTTTAATTATTTTAATTCCTTGTTACTAATTTTAGCTTGATTATTAGTTTGGAATGATAGGAAGTTGCAACTCTGTGTTATGCCATTTTTTTAAATTAAAGCCTCCACTCTTTTATTATAAGAGCGAGTTCCGCACTGGCTATACTGGTTTGCATTTTTTAGACACTCCATTACTTTTTCCCCCATCACTAATAATTGCTACAAGTTCCAGAAAAAAATATTTCACTTAAGAAATTTATAAACCTAAGCATTTATTTAGAGGGTTTCTAGTCTTTTAATCCACTTAAAGACATAAGCAATTGCTATCGGAATATATCGATGTCCATATGATTCTACGAATGGTCCCACAAAATCTAGTCCTTAAACAAAAAAAATATTTACTTGCAACATAATGCAAAATAGGCATTTCATTTCTTTAGTAATGTTTCATACCCTCTAACACCTATCATATTCTTTTTTACATATTTATTTGCATCCTTAAATAGGATAAGCCAATAAAATCAGATTGAAGAATATTAGAGCAGTTCTAAAACCTCCAAAATGACCTCTATATTTGAATCATGACATTGCCTAATTATTGATTCAATTTCATTTTTAGGGACACATCACTTAAGGATTTTGTCTTTACACCTAAACAATGGTGATTCATCCCAAAAATAGAATTTAACATCATGCAATAATTTATGCCTTTGGGAATAAGACGTGTGAGCGGGAAGAATACCACTAACAATGAAATTTATAATATTAGTATTCTAAGGCATACCATATGAATGCATAACAAATAAAAATTTATAAAAAAAATCTCATTGATTTCACACTCATCACATGAATGGTTTTCTCGCTCTTTTCAAGGTCAGCGATCAGCCATTTGGTTCTCAGTTTCTACCTATCAAGAATTTATATATCAAATTCTAGCAACAAAAGAATTTACCTTACCAATCTATGTTTGACGTCTTTTTTTGTTATAAGAAATTTAATAGTAAAATGATCAGTGTAAACCAGAACATGAGTGCTAATCAAATAAGAATGAAACTTATAAAAGGGAAAGACAATGGCTAATAATTCTTTTTTAGTGGTTATATAATTAAATTGAGTTGAGTTCAAAGTTTTGCTAGTATAATTAATATCACATAATTTTCTATCATTTTTTTGCCCTAAACATAGCTCCAACAGCACAATCAGTAGCATCACACTTAATTTAAAAATGCAGTGTCCAATCAAGTGTAGCATTAACAGGTGCAGTGATCAAGAGCTATTTCAAAATGTTAAAAACTTTTACACAATTATCATTAAAGTTAAAAGGGGCATCTTTCTCAAGTAAATGACATAATGGATTTAATGTTTTAGAGAAATACCTAATAAATCTTCTATAGAATCCAACGTGTCCTAAAAAGTTTATAATTCCTCTAACAAAAGTGGGTGGTGGAAGGTTTTTTAATTATTTAAACTTTAGCCATATCCACTTTTAAACCTTTCTTAGAAATTTATGGCCTAGGACTATGCCTTTTGCTACCATAAATTGATATTTCTCCCACTTCAGTACCAAATTTGTTTCAAGATATCTTTTTAAAACCAAAGTTAAATGTTATAAGAAATAATCAAAAGTGGTTTCAAAAATAGAAAAATCATCCATAAATATATCAATGCCTCTAAAATTTAGCAGGAGTATTGCACAAGCCAAAAGACATCCTCCAAACATAGAGTTTTGCACCAATTAGATAATGGAAGATTTCAATTCAAAATTATTTGCTTGTATGTTCAATCAATTTATATTTAGATGAATACCCTCAACCATAGGGTTGGTGTATAGTAGGTTCCCTCCAATATCTTACTATACATTCTCATATTTCATTTGCTGTCAATCGCATTTGCCAACATATTCATCAACCTCAAAATTAGCATTTTACTATGCTCAAATGAATTCTTTTTTATGTTCAAGGGACTCTATACCTTGGTCTGCCAATTCATCTTGGAGACTATCATCTTAAAGCCTTATTGATGCCAATTGGGCTGGAGACACACTTGAGTGCAAATCAATCTCAGGATAATTAATTTGTTGAAAAATATAATTTTAATGAAAACATATCTAATGTTACAAAATTCACATTAAAAATTTCAATATAATGTGCAAAATGATAATTATATTTTATAAAATTATTAGTGAGTATGTTTACTTATAAATAAATATAAGAGTTTTTTTTTTAAGTTTAAGAAAAATTATTTAAAATTAAAATAATATAATGAATTAATTAGAATATATTTATTAAATATAATAAAATAGTGCACCGCTTTCCATTCGTCGATGTCCAATCTTCCGCCGCTTCTGCTACTTGTTCTCCTTCTTCAAGCGTATCTGAACAAAGACGAGTGGCCAAGGCGGCTTTATTTCTTTTCCGAGGTCAGCCCAAACCCCTCTGCTCTTTCTCTGCTTTATATGGTCATTACCAGATTTCTTGTAGCATGCTCTCTTTCTCAATCATCTCAGAAACCCGAAATACCAGGGAGATCGGTTCACCCTTTTTGTTTTCTTCTTTGTTTTCGCCGGATCCTGGGTCGTTTGATCTTAAAATATGATTTGATTCCAGTGATTACACTGGCGGCGGGTTGAATCGTGTTTTGATCGCTTCCTGATTCGAATTCCTTCGCCTCGAAGCAAAGCCTGCGCTTTGAAGAACATAAATAAAGTCACTCACAGTCACAGATGCTTTTGTGATTATTCACAAACTTACCTCCACCTCCACAATCAGATGTTAAAATTTTTATGGGTTGTTGAAATTGCTTTTCTACAAGTGATTTGAATTGCAAAAATTTAGAGGTAGTTTCAGATTTTAGAATGAAGAGGATCCACCCAATAATAGCGTGTAAAATCATCAACAAAGAACAAATAATATTTATAGGATTGCATTGAAAAAACAGGGAAAGGTCCCCATAGATCACTACGGATAATTTCTGAATAGTGAGTACTTTTGAGAGGAGCTAAAGAAAATGATGGACGGTGACATTTGGCACAAGCGCAGGTCGAACAGTTAGACGAAGGCTTGCAGGAAGAAAAAGTTGAGGGAAGAAGTTGTTGGGTAGATGTAGAGGGATGGTCTAGGCGCTAATGCCATACATTTGGTATTGCTGTGGTGGTGATGAGAGCAACAGAGGTTGCAGAAGATTGCTGCCAAAGTGAGGACGCTGGAAGTTTAATAGGGTATATGAAGGATTATTTGGCCAGACTGAGCACTGGGTAGCGCATGATCGTTGCTGACTTGCACGTGAGACGAACCATAATATGTTTGAACAGATTAAAGTTGTGACGATTGAGAAGTAAGGTGAGACAATGCTCCCGAATCCAGAAACCAATCAACAATAGAAGAAGCATTAGAGGCAGTATATACTGAAGATGTAGGCTGATATGAATGTCTGCACGATACCAACAGTGAAATGCCGAATGTCCAGATTTGTCCCATATCTGACATTCAATGGAAGCATGAGGTCGGAGACCGCCACAGGCAGCTCCAGGCAAGGAGCGACCACCACGTGAATTACTAAAATGGGAGTGACCTTGGGTAGAGGTAGGATTGAAGGCACGACCACGAGACTGTCCATGAATAGCTGCTAGAGCAAAAGACTGAGATGTATTTCCTAGAATGAAGTATTGCATGCAGTTTCGTAGCAATATTGAGCTCTTCACTACAGAGCAAGACAGATATAATCTAAGCTGATGGGTGTCAATTTCATTTGAATAACAATTTTAAAGGCCTGATAGGAAGATGATAACCCAGTAACCCATTTAGAGTATGCATGATGATAGCCAGCAACCACAATGACATCAACCTTTTGTTTGATTTCTAAGAGATATTGCACCGTAGATTTATCATTCATTTGAAGTTGATAAAGCTCATTTTTTAATTGAAGGATCCTAAAATAGTTCGTAGATTGTAGATGACGCTCTATAGTTAACCAAATGTCCTGACAAGAGAACATAGAGAAGAAAATGAGCAATCGTGGAATTAAGATTAGCAACCATATTTTGATCAATAAGCAATCAAGTATAAAAGTGTGGTTAATGGTAATGTTGCCATCCACTGACACCAACTGTTTGGATGGTTTTGGAGTAGAACCATCAAGATATCTATCACAATTGCCACAAAACAGTTTCAAAATTTGGGATTTCCAAATGGGATGATTATTGTAAGTAAGTTGAACACTAATGACTATTTTGACAATCAACATAAGAAATTTAAGTTGTGAGGGGGTAGGAGAAAGAAAGTGGTATAATTGGAGACATCCATATGAAATCAGTATTAAAAAAAAAAAAAGTAGATAAGGCAATGTTCAAGAGTCTTTGATACCATGATAAATTTATGCAGTAGCTCCAATTAACTTAACTTTAGCAGTACAGGAAAATAATTAAATAGAATGCAGATAGTAGAAGAACCGAGAGCTCCATTTCTTGACAATATTTACAAGCTACAACAATTAGTATTTATATTAACATAAAGTTGAAATTAAAATTGAGTTTCACTGCCCTTTTGACAGGAGAAATTATTTTGTGTGGAGATTGGATGGCGAGAGCCTGTTCGGATTTGCTGCACTTTGACTGCTCTTTTGCTACTCTTTTGCAAATATTTAGCAAAAGGGCAGTAAATATATTTGCTGTCATTTTGTTCAGTATTTGCAAAAGAGCAGCAAAAAGACTGTTAAAGCGTAACAAATTTCCTACTAATTGAATATTTGCTGCTCTTTTGTTGTGCTTTTGCAAATATTCAACAAAAGGATAGCAAATATACATGCAATTATGAATGCATATTTGCTGCCCTTTTGCTGAGTATCTGCAAAAGCGCAACAAAAAGGCAGCAAATCCAAACGGTTCTCGCCGTCCGGTCTCCGCACAGAATAATTTATCGTCTGACTGTGGTATGCTGAGCTTTGATTAATTGAGATGTTCAATGATGTTAAAGGAGTCTTGTCTGGGAATATGACTGTCCGAGAGGGAGGAAACTTCTTGCTAGGTAACACTTTGTTTTGGGAGAAGAAAAATGAACATTAAAAAAAAATAATAAGGCTATGATTACATTATTATGCTATTTTTTTTGCTTTGGATTTATTGTATGTTGTAGCTGACTGTAGCTTGGAATAATGTGGAAAGGAGAAGAAGCATATATTCATTATTTATTTATTTGTCAAGGAAAAGCAAGTGGAAGGTATAAGAAGAGAGAGAGAGAGAGAATATTTTGGGGGCCAAATATTCATGACTAAATGAATATCTGTATGGCAGGGGATATACGTTATATTTGTAGAGCTATGTATATCTTTGTCCCTTTTTTTAGGTTTTTCTTGTAGAATTTTTCATTTATCTTCATTTTCAAGTTATTGTTCTCGCATGAAATTTACCCCAACAGTTACACCTCACATTGGTGCCGGTTCTACTTGGTGGGAAATTTGCTTCATTGTATGCATGAGCTCTGGTTCTTAGAGGATGATAATCATGAGCATTGATTCTTCAAAACATAGCATATTCTGCTAGCCTAGTTCTCCATTTCTACTTTCATTGCCCCTGGTATTATTCTCATTTTTTAAATTACTTATTTTAGTTATATGAACTTTTGACCTTATTTACTAGCATTTATGTGCATCAATAGTGCAATGTTTAGCTTCTACATTCCATGTCTGTTCTACTTACATCTTCCAGATTATTATGAATCTGAATGCAATTCACCTCTTTGGACACTAATAGTGTTAAACATGTGTTTTACAGTCTACACATCATACGGAACAGCATGGACAACACCATATGCAGCCAAGGCAGTATGTAACTATTGTCTGTTCTACTTATTGAACCATATTAAAGTGTTGAGGAAAGCATCACTTCATTGTTGCATAGAAAGGATGATTCCCGAACACATAAATGCAGATGGTTCACATCGACGCCATCAGCTCACTGCCATAAGGGTTGTCCGGGGTATATTATGTTTAGCGGTTTTACTCACAACTGCCTGTATGACATTAATCTACTGTGCACCTTTATTTACTCTTCTCCTGAGGCTTTTCAGCATACATTATAGTCGAAAGGTGGTTGCATTGTTGTTTGGTGCATGGCTCTCTATGTGGCCATTTCTATTTGAGAAGATAAACAACACTAAAGTTGTTTTTTCTGGGGATAGTGTGCCTTCAAAGGAGCGAGTGCTGCTCTTTGCCAACCATAGAACAGAAGTCGACTGGATGTACCTATGGGATCTTGCATTGAGGAAGGGTTGCTTGGGATCTATTAAGTACGTCTTAAAGAGTAGCTTGATGAAATTGCCTGTGTTTGGCTGGGGATTTCAGGTTCTGGAGTTTATTTCAGTGGAGAGGAAGTGGGAAATTGATGAGTCAATGATGCGAAGGAAGCTTTCAACTTTCAAAGACACCAGAGATTCTCTTTGGCTGGCAGTTTTCCCAGAGGGCACTGATTATACGTAATTCTTGTTCTCTTATATATATTTTTTTCTTACTATTGATAAATTAGCAATTCTTGTATTAATGTTAACATAAAAAGCAATCTTGCACTTTAAACTTATTTTTGGTGAGAGAATCTCCCGGCATTCCCCCTTCCCCCCACAATCAAAATTTATTGGCACATGCCTGGCTGTGCTGTATTTCTTGAAGTGCAGTGATTTTAGTTTTTTATGCAGCTAATGCACAGATAACATTTGTTATCAATTTATCATGGTATATTTATTCTTCAAATTGTGTTATACATCTCAAATATAGATATATGTTTTCTGCTTCTCACTTTTTTTAGCCACTTTGTGTTTACTTGTCTCAGAGAACAGAAATGCTTGATGAGCCAAAAATATGCAGCTGAAAATAGCTTACCAATTCTAGAGAACGTGCTCCTTCCAAAAACTAGGGGCTTTTATGCTTGTTTTGAAGCTCTGAGAGAGTCCCTGGATGCTGGTTAGTTCATTGTACTTATTTCTTTGAAGCTTGCATTTTAGTTTCAATAGTTAGTACTTAGTAGTCATTCTGTTGATTTTCTTTAATTTGAATAAACCTTTACAATTTAATTACACTTGCAACGGTATATGCTTTATTGTTTAAATGCTAATATGAAAACATTAGGTTGATTTTTTGGATTAGTTCTCTCGTCAAGTTTAGTCATGTATCGGAATAGTAGTTCCTTGATTTTACCATGAAGTTTGACATACATTTTTTGTTTGTTATGACCCCTAATAGTTAATACTTCATCATATAAATGTAAGCCCTGAGGGTTTGATAACTAGGAGATTCTTTTTGCAATAAGCTTTTAACCGAGTCCTATCTCTCTCAAAAAAAGGGTAATAGACTGATCTTATTGAGAACTTGAATTTTTTTTTCTTTTGTGAGACCCTTACGCCTCATTGATAGTTGACGAATAACAGTCTCTTAATCATGATATACTGTTTTGGAAAATTTTGATGGTACGTACTGTACTTATTTAGGGAGCTGTGAAGTAGAGGAGCTGCTTAAGCATCATAAAATTAAAAGAAGCAACCTTTGCATAATGGAAGCTTTTTAATCATTACACTGCTACCAAATGCATTTTTTTAGATCCAAATGACAACTTCTTGAAAATTTTTTTGGTTTATCTCATATGCCTCTAATTTTTTATGGCTGTTTTAGCATGTCAATGTTGGACATAATATTACATTCGTTTGTGGTAGCGTGCTCATCATATAAACCACTCATGTTAAAAAAAAATAGGCAAAAAAAAAAAAGAAAAAAGAAAAAAAGAAAAGGGAATCATTGTCTTAAAAAAACACAGATGTGCAGGCATGCTCAAAATTTTTAAAATCTAAATTTAATACCTTCTGATTAATTCCATGTGATTTTCTTGATACTAATATTAAATATTTAATGACACCAATCACTTTTTCATATTTTGAATGCGAGGAGAGTGTTGAGGAGCGGTGGCTAGGGAGAGGTTTGAGAATAGTAGTAATACATGTCGAGCAAAGTCCATATGAAAACATGAAAACAAACAATAACAATAATGCATTTCAAACCAGATGCATAAAAAATTTATGTATATTTACCATCGCTTTTCAAATCATACTTTAATGAGAACCTTATGCATTTATAGCTATTTATTTTACTTTGGGAGATGATAGAAATATATTGAGAGATAAATGCCAATTTTTCTAAAAAAGATACAATGAATTATAGGACTCATCTTAGGCCTCATTTGTTTGTTTGAAGTTAAAATAAAGGTTTATTTTGGGAATAAGAAAATAATTACTAGATTCAACATTGTTGACCTCTTCAACAAAAAAAAAATTTAAAAAAAAATCATTACCTCTGTCGAAACCCGCTCAAATCCGAATTTTTATTGCCTCAGGTTACCTGACGCAACGATACGTTCGGTAAAGCTTAAAAACGCGACACCTGGCAGCCGCCTTTACCCGTAATGACCCGACGCAGCCCATACGCTTTAGCACGTTTTTTAAATTATTTCAGGTGGGCCCGTCGTCGCATTGTATATGAATTGGGCCGGAAAACTTAGAAAGTACGCGGCTTTTACCTCTGGTATAATAACCTGAGGTATTAAACCTAAGATGTTATACAGTCTTTAGGGTTCATATAATTCTCATATACCTCACGTAAAGATATCATGAAGTGTTTGAGGAGATGGAAGAATCGAATGTAGGTTTTCCTTCGGATGACTTCGTTGATTTCGAGGAAACTCCCACGTTAAGCTTTGATCAAGTGTTTTCTGATTTAATACAAGTAAGTCATTAGCTTTATTGTTAGGATTTTTTTTCTTTTTGCTATTTCATTACTGGCTATCAATGTAAAATCATAAAAATCCATTAGATTTACTCAGTACAGTGTTTGACTTACCTCGGTAATGATCGGTACTAGATAGTGAAAGTTGGTATGAACTTTTTTGCACGCAACTTTTGAGAGATCAAACGTTGGTTGTAATAGTACCGATTATTACAGTTGTTAAATATCGCTCGGTATAAGATAGTACTGATCATTACATGGAATCGATCATTTTATTACCTTGGTATAAGCTCGGTATTGATATTTATAGCTCGGTATAAGATCGGTACTAATTTTAATAGCTCGGTATTAACTCAGTGCACATTTGTACCGAGCTAATAAATATTAATAAGTCGTAGTGCACATTTGTACCGATTGTATAAATATTAGCTCGGTATAAGGTCAGTATTGATATTCAGATATAAAGCTAAACTGGATGTATGAATATTTCATAGGGTGTTTACAATTCTGAGAAGGAAGCATATGAAAAATATTGCCAGTACGCGCATTCAACTGGATTCAATGTTCGAAAAGATCATCATCATTTATGGCCAAATTCAAGGAAAATGAAATTAAAGAATTTTATGTGTTCTAAAGCTGGTTTCAAGAAGGAGACTGAGAGTGGTACAAAGGTAAAATATCGAAGATCATGTATAAGAACAGGATGTCCAGTCATGGTTAGATTTTCTGTGAGTCAAGATGGGGTTTGGGGAGTGAGTAAAGCTATAGAGAGTCACAATCACGAACTAGCTAGGCCGGATGATCAACATTTGCTCAGGTCAGCTAGGAGCATTAGTGATGAGAATGCAGCTATTTTGAAATCTATGTCAGAAGCAAGGATAAGAACTGTCGATGCATTTACATACCTATCTGATTAAGTTGGAGGTGTGGGTAATTTGAGTTTCACGAAGCGGGATGCATATAATTACATCCAAAAAGAAAGAATAGCCAAGATTGAGACTGGAGACACTAATTCACTGATCAAGTTGTTTAAAGAACGAGCAATTGATGACAACATGTTTGCATGAGATGTCAAAATTGATGAAGACGGTTGTTTGTTGAATTTCTTCTGGGTAGATGGTCTTGGCAGAATTGATTATGACTGTTTTGGGGACGTGAAACTATTAAGGATCCCAAGAAGTGCAGGCCAAAGGGAGTATCAAATGCTAGATTGAAGGATCACTGGGAGAAAAGGAAGACCAAAAAACAAAAACAAACAGTGAGGAATCCTCCAGCAATCATACACTTTATAAATCCAGATCCAGGTAGTCAATCGTCATTCATGTAATCTCTGAATTTGGAAATATTTCTATTTTGAATATGACATTCTCATTGTTTGTGGAGTTCACATTTTTTTGGTCTTCCTAGTAATAGTAAAAATTGGTAGTATTAGTCTAATACCAAGCTTACAACTAATACCGAGTAATACCGATTTGTTTTCAAATATGATCGGTATTAGTCCTTTTTTTTACTCGGTACTTGATTACAAAAGTCTGTATTGCTCGGTATTCGTACCATACTGAACTGCACTAACTCGGTACCGAGCAGTACCTATCAAATAACTTGGTACCGAGCATATTTCAACTAATACCGAGCAGTACCTATCAAATAACTTGGTACCAAGCATATTTCAACTAATACCGAGCAATACCGCTCTATTTTCTTTTTGCTCGATTTTTGTACAATTTAGTACTCGGTTCGCGTCAAATATTAATCGGTAATGCTTTCAATTTTCATTAAGAAAACCAAATTATTAATTTACATTAACAATGCACAAGAAATATACAAATTAACACACCATTTATAGAGTAATCTAATGAATTTTAGTACATAACAGGGCATATGCTAGTTCTGCCCTGAATAATGGCATTCTAGATTGCCAGTCTTTATAAAGATATCATTGCACAGGTTCCTGCTGTATAACAACTTCCATATATTTACAAATAAACATGCCGCAGTCCACGTTGTTAATTTGCGTTGGGACATTTCTAAATCCCTTGATCGGCCATTTCGTGATATTGTAGTCGAAAGCGTGCTTTGCATCGTTGTAGAAATGAGAAATATGGAAATTTGAAAATATATTAGCAGACAATGTTGTTACTACTAAAATAAAAATTAAAGGTGAGTATTACTTACAACTTCTGGGAGTACGCCTTTGTGTTTTTTATTCGGTAATGAATCATAGAACTCCCACCGTTTCTTTTTCAAATTGCATACAAGCAGTGTCCAATGTTTTTCGTTTATTATTGAAACAAAGAACAAATTTACATTCCTAATAACGGTTCTGTTAATATGAGATACGAAGCTAGTTGTAATCGTCTCTTTATTTTGTACGTAGTAACCCTGGAGCAGATAAAATACTACTGCTGATTAAAACCGTATACTAAACATGTTTAGAACTAATAATTACAAATGACATACTAACTCAATAGAAACTTGAAACATAAAGAAATGGCTGATTAAGCCTTGGGCAAAGTTTATTTTTCTGGAAAAGTAAATGAGCAAAAGCATCCACGTGATTGTTGTCAAGCTCGCACAGCAATAACTCGTCCAATTGACTTCTAAAAATTGTTATATTTTCAAATTCGAAAATAGTATCATTCCTGGATAATTCAAAAAACATAAATTAAAAAGAATAATAAAAACAAAATACAATATATTAAATTACGGTATTACTCGGTATTGCTCGGTATAATGCAGTAAAATATCAGTAAATTTACCATAAATCATATGATTAATATAGTACCGAGTAGATTATATATAATACCGAGTAGAACCGATCATTAAAGCTCGGTATTACTCGGTACTTGCTCGGTATAATGCCTGAAATAATAATAAATTTGCTTTAAATCATATGATTGATATAATACCGAGCAAATTAGACATAATACCGAGTAGAACCGATCATTAAAGCTCGGTATTACTCGGTACTTGCTCGGTATAATGCCTGAAATAATAGTAAATTTGCTTTAAATCATATGATTGATATAATACCGAGCAAATTAGACATAATATCGAGTAGAACCGATCATTAAAGCTCGGTATTCAGGGGCGGAACCAGCCTTTCAGCTTAGGGGGGGCAAAATTTTCTTATTATAGAAAAATATAAAAAAAAAAAAACAAAATGAGGACATAATTCAAAGTGAAATCTT